TTTTTTTCCCCCCACACTGGTTTTCTTTTTTCTTTTTTTTTTAAAGATGAAGATGACTGGTAAGGGGATCTTAACCCTTGACTTGGTGTTGTCAGCACCACGCTCTCCCAGGTGAGCTAACCGGCCATCCCTATATAGGGATCTGAACCGTGGCCTTGGTGTTAGCACCACACTCTCCCAAGTGAGCCACGGGCTGGCCCTCATACTGGTTTTCAATACTTAGATTTTATGTTTATATAGAGTAGTTTGGGTGTGGATGAAGGAGTTAATTGAACATTATGAGAAGGGCCTAAAGCTCCCCACCTAGTCACCCCTTAGGGTACCATGGTTCTCTGGAGGCTGTAAATGCCTTGAGAGCAGGATGCACATTCCATCTCCCCATGATGCACAGTGGGAGTTCTATAAGTTGACTGATTTTCATTCCATTAGAGATAAACATGTTTAAAAGGATTTTTTTTGCACCAAAATTAATCTGTAAAGGATTACTCATTATGCAGATTTTAGTATTACAGCTATGGGAAAACATCATTCAAAGGAGTTCTTTACAGAACTTTTTAGAAGATGGTTATTATTAATTATTTTGGCAATGATAAATAAATTATTTCACCTAAAACACATTCCCTGAATTTCATAGTAAGAAAGCAGAGGTCGAAGATCATGCTATGCATCATTTTGGCAGACTGGGTTTAGCAGCATAACCCTTTGCATTCTATTTACTCTTCCACTTTGTAGAAGCAAATGTTTATTTTATTTATTTATTTATTTATTTATTTTCTGACCGGTTAGGGGATCGCAACCCCCTAGCAGCATAACCCTTTGCATTCTATTTACTCTTCCACTTTGTAGAAGCAAATGTTTATTTTTTTTATTTATTTATTTATTTATTTATTTTCTGACCGGTTAGGGGATCGCAACCCCCGGCACGGTGTGGTCCACACCACGCTCAGCCAGTGAGCGCACTGGCCATCCCTATATAGGATCCGAACCCGCAGCCTCGGCGCTACCAGCGCCGCACTCTCCCGAGTGAGCCACGGGGCTGGCCCGCAAATGTTTATTTTTAACAGATATTTACAAAACGATGAACAAAGCAATACTGAATCTAACATTTATCTTTAAAGGAACATAAACTGATAAAAGAATATTTATACAGTAGTATCTTTTACTTGAAAAGTTCAAAGTACTAAAAAGTTATAAATGGCTCATTAAAGTCACACTAATATATAAATGTACTAAAATATTCCTGCATTCTCTCTGATTCTGCAACCACAGACAAGCGTCTAAGCTGGTTAATACTTGTCTTCTTGATCTGATTCTTTATTTTTACTTCTTCTCTTCTTTGCTATTCATGAGGCTTATAATCAGCCATATTTTAAAAACAGACCTTTCCTTATTCTCAGATCAAAGTGGGATTATATGTGATTCTTTCAAATTCCCAGGAATTAACTAGAAGGATTTTGTAGAGCTTGGAAGATCAAATCCTCATCTAAAATGCTGCTGACAATGAAAAACTATGGCATCACTTTGACTAAGTTATGTTTTCCTTAAACAATACTAAAAGAATAATTTTCTTTGGTCATTTGAACTTAACTCCTTTGATATTAATCATAACTCATTTGCATTGAGGGGAACCTACCATTGTCACTATGTAAAGTGAAAATTTAAATATCTATTGGTAAAGTTAGCAAACATTTAAATTAACTTAAACTTGGATAATTAATTTAGGAGAATCTAAATATTTGGTTAATTAAGAATAAAAACAAGCAAGCAAATACTCCCTCACCCCTAAAAAAACCCAAGAGAGAAAAATAATGTAAAGAGAAGGAAAGAAAAGGAAAATAAATTCTGATACTTTCTATTGTTATAATTTATCTTGACAAATTATTTTATAGATATGTAATACCCTATTTTGTTAATTTGTTTTTATATATAATTGACCGTGTTTCACGGCCAGGTAGAGTTTCTTTTTCTTTTTTGGATGGGGTTGGGGAGTCATTTTAATTATAGCTACAAATAAGTTATTCAAATTTACATACTTGTCTTCCCCGTATTTCATCAGGAACACAGAAGAGGTAACAAATAGATCTGTTGCATGAGAGAGAAATTATCAGGCACAGTATTTTGCTGTGGATTACTAATTACAGTAATCTGCATTAAACATCTATTAATAAAATGTTCTTACAACAATAAAGAACTAGAATTAACATCGCATACTACATGACAGAGACTAAACGTGCAATAATATTTTCGATAAATTCAACCAACAGAAGCTTGACTATAAAAGGATGTAAAAATTTCATATGTCCTAAATGAGTGACATCATCATATTAATAAAATCATAGCTTCCATTTAAGAACAATGTACAGTAATACTGATAGGTTATGTCAGCTGTTTATTCCAACAGTCATTTCCCACCTATGTTTCCCAAACTTGCCTATTTTTTTTGTTTTTTTACCCTTTTAAAATTCTATCATTTTTGCCTATTTTAAGTATCTCTTTTCCCTGAGAAATTCTGATTCAAGACATTCTAAGTTGCAACCTGCGAATCTTCTTAAACCACTGGTATTCCCCCCCACTAGCCCACCACCCTAGGTAATTTTAAAAATCAGGCAAGTTTGGGAAACACTACTCAACCCTAATAACGGGAGATGGGAGGCAAAGCTTTTACTTCTAAACTCTAAGCCAAACAAAAACATCAAGGTAGAGAATTTTATTAGTGTCAATACAAGACTCAAAAGTACTATATTTTAACAAGGACATTTATAAGGACTCACGTCTGGAAAAAGTTCTCATACACACCATTCTCACATTTAAAATGAAGACATTTGTTTTCATTTATCACTTTATGTAACAATTATATTTTAAGCAATTTCTGTTTTAACATGAAATAGTATAAGATATTTTCTAATGGTTATTATAAATAAAAGGGGAAATAAATATAATGAATTACCTTTATAATTTTTGTTTCATGGGCCTTCTGTATCAAATAGGAAATTATTTTTTCAGTTTTTTCAGGACTACCACAAGTATAAATATAATTTAAGGCTGTAATAAGACATTTCACATAAAAGGGCATGAGTCTAAGCTGCAAGTTCCAAGCAAGCAGTGATTTAGTCCAAAAGCTTGAAAAGAAATGGTAGCTATTCTATGTGTAGAGGCCAAAGAAAAACTTCCTCTTTATCCCTAAAGGTTCACTAAAAATTACTGACAAATTCAGATTAATAGAAAGAAAAGGCATAACAAACTTTATTTTAACATGCATAGCCCAGGGGAACCACAGAATAACTGCCCAAACCCAATGAGGAACAGATGCTTATACACCCCTCTTCATATGGAAAGGGAAGATGGGGGGTATGGGAGCAAATGGCTTTTAGGGGGCCCAAAGAACATACAATGGCCTGGGACAAAGTCTGTTTGGCCCGCAGAGCAGACAATGACTGGTAAATGATTGTCTGCAAAATACTGAATGTGATTGAAATAGAAGACAACGATCTGTGACAAAAGTCTGTCCAGGTGTGCTGACAGACTTAAGTCTTCCTTCTGTGATATGAGTTGTTATTGAAAACTCAAAATACTGAATGTGATTGAAATAGAAGACAACGATCTGTGACAAAAGTCTGTCCAGGTGTGTTGACAGACTTAAGTCTTCCTTCTGTGATATGAGTTGTTATTGAAAACTTGGGGAAAGGATCAGAGGTAATCGTTGTCTTCTTTAGCCAGTTTGAACTTAACGCAGACCAGAGAACAGCTTCATCTTGTGCTTTGGAGAAAGAGGATTGAGAGACAGGGGTTGAAGAAGCCAGAGAGACCTTGAGGCTGCTTCTTTATTCCAGCATGCCAAGCACCATATTTTAGAGTGAAAGCCTCTGAGACCCAACATATGCAAAAAGTATAGTGCAACTTTATATAACCCTCTTCATGACTAAGAACTAACTTCAAAAATAGTATGAAAATCCACAAAAATTTTAAAAAGTAAAGAAGTTTCTACCTTCTTACTGCACTGAAAAAAAAAAAAAAAACCTCTTCCATTGCCTTTATTTTTTACTTATATTTTCTATTTTAAAAGGTAAGGATGAGATCTCTCAGCTAATTCATCAGTCAATAGTAGTTCATGAATTATATTCATCATTAGACTGTTATCAGGCTGAGTGGGGCTGATCCTTATCAACTTCTTTGGCTTCAAAGCTAGAGATCACAGGAAAAGAGCCAAAAAATAGTTTATTCTACACATGGGATGCACTCAAGTGGTCTATCCATACAGCCTTAATCCACTGTTCTTTTGAAGTGAGCATCATTATTTACACAGTGGTTAAAGTTCTGCTTATTCAATACTTAAAATTAGCTTTAAACCCGGAAATCTCCAAAATACGTACTGTGATTGTTTATAAGCGTTTTTCATGGATGTACTAAATAATTTAAGGATTTTCTTTAATACTGTCTGTGTTTAACTCTCTACATGATGCGGCCAAACCAGGTTAACTATTTTTTTTTCCCACCTACTACTCTGGTCACAACAACTACCTATGCACGTCTCACAAAACCGCCTTTCAAAATGCAGAGAAAACTAAAAGCAAGGAGGTAAAGATTTTTCTAACTATAGTCCAACCGTGCTTAGTTTATGTTCATCAAGTAGGCCGCTAAAGGCAGCCAGCGGCGATCGACACTTACAAGCATCTCTCAAAGCAAACGCTGTCACCAAGGGACACCTGACAGCTACGCGCTCTACCTGTTGTACCTGGGCCACCGCTCTCGACAACCGTCAGGTCAACTTCTTCAAGTTGTTTGCTACTTTCTTCCCACCCCGTTTTTTTTTTTTTTCCCGAGTCGTTTCTGCAGAGCCGAGGGGGCCGCGGGACCCGCGAGCTTGTCCTCCCTGCCGGTGGCAGCGGCGGTGCCGGGGCGGACAGGGCCTGGCGGGGGCAGCCGCGCGGCGGGGACACAGGACCTCCCAGGCCACAGGCCGGGGCGCAGAAGCGAGGAGCCTCGGGCCGCGATGCACTCACCTCCGCTCGGGAGAAGCGATGGGTGCGCGCCGCTCACCCGGCCGGGGACTCAGATCCGAGGAAGACGAGGGTGGTGGCGGGGGACAGGGCGGGCGGCGTGAGGAGGAAAACGAACTACCGGGGATGCGGGGCCGAGCAGGAGGCTGCAGCCTTTCCCTCGAGAAACGGAAGAGGCGGGGGAGGGGAGAGGGCGGTGGCTGCGGCGGCCGGGACAAGGGCGCCGGGCG